TTAATTGCAATCACATAGCATCTAGCAATTGTAGCAACTATTGCTCCAGAGTCAAAGGAAGAAGAGACTGCTACTCTGCCATGAAGATGAATGAAAAGAAAAAAGCAAAAGAAATGAAATGAAAAAAGCTAGAGGGAAAGGGAGATTTAGACAATGAAAAAGCTAAATCTAAACTAGAATCCTAAAAGGAAAGAACAAAAGAAAGGAAATGGAAAAAGCTAGACTAGACAATGCAAAAACTAAATTTAAACCAAAATCCCAAATTTAAGCACTCCTCAGGAACAATTAAAAATGCCTCTCAACTCCACCAATGTGAGTGTATGGAATATAGAAAGGGAATATGCATATTAATTAGCCCAAAAAATCCTAACTTATATACAGGAGTAAGTGGTTTGGATTGAACCAATCTAACAGCATTATGCTAATATTATTATACAACATCATAGCTGTACATTTAAACCTCACAATATTATATTAAAATCTTGTGTGGACCTCATATTTTGTCATTAATTTCATAAATTCCATGAGATTCAAATGTATAAATTATTGAATTCATAAGCTAGTAATATAGAGATTAAGTATTAATATTTCAATATGTAATAAACTATATTTAATTAAGATAAGGATTCTTGATATTGCAAGATTTATAAATATATGTATATGTATGTATGTGTGTGTGTGTATAAAGCAAGTGTCTAAACCCTAATTAATATACCTACTTCTATATCACATTAGAGGAGATGAAAGGCACTGAAATTTATCCATAAAAGACAAACTTTTTTAGTGGTGATTTACTCTAATGTTTGGGATTGTGCCTTTTGTTTTTATTTCTTCATTCTCTTTTAGATTTAGATTTATATTAACTTTTTGCAAGATCTATAATTCTAGCTATTGTTATGCATAGATTTGCTCTTTCTTCTAATCTTCATTGCATTCTCTTTTTTTATTATGCTATGCTATCATCAATTAAAGAGTATATCACTTAAGGCTATCAATACTACTTTGTTAAATTGAACTTTTGGTGTTGTGGTGTTATGGGGTGTGATCATATTAGTGCTATACCAATCTTTAGTGTGTTGTCACCTCTAACTTCCATGGGATGTGATTATATAGTTTATTTTGTTCTCGGTGTTTTGTGATTGTGACATCAATTGGCGAGATATAGACAATGCAGTTTGGTTCTTGGAGAATGTTTAAAGATCAAGTTTATGGGAAAATAATGTTTATGAATTCAAATAGATTCCAGATTATGATGGGGAACTTGATTATTATAGAGATAGTGTAAGTAACCAAAAAGAACAACTTGAGAAATAATCTATTAAGTTCAAATATAAAGGGAAGATTAAAGGTTTTTGAATACTTATGGTTAAATGTCCTCAAATTTAAGTAATACCAAGCTATATGACCTCCCGAGAAGTCCAAATTTAAGAACTTACAGATAGGTTTATAAATGAGTTAAAGATTTTGCAGAGTAAATGTTAATCCTTTAATGTGATATTTGATCCTTTCTATTTATCTTCTACTCTTTCCCAATATTTTCTTATTTCTCAGCTTAAGCCACCTTCTTATATTCTTTGTTATCCTTTCTAGTTATTTCTAATTTGGACTTCTCAGGAGGTCACCCAATTCAATACTAAGGAAGTATCCCAAAACTCTTAACTAATTGGAAAAGAGAATGCATCTAATTATAAAAGAGAGTGCATATTTGTTTATAAGCCCTTTCCTTTTATATTTAAATTTGTATGGATCATCTTTCGAGTTGTTTCCTATGGTTTCTTACACTTTTATGTTTCTCATTCTCAATCCGGTGTTAAGTTGAGTGTTTTCTATCCTTTTCATACTAATTTAGATGTTAAGTATATATGTAAAGCTAAGAATTTTACTTTTGTTTCTTTGGTGGAGTCTTTGATCAATTCTAGTATTGAGTATTTTTTTATTCCAAAGGTTAAGTCACTTTTGCTAGAGTTTTGGGTTAAATGTATATTCCTAATTGTAAGTGTCATTGAGAGCATTTATTTATCATTGTTACTAAGGGGTTTATGTGTTCTTTTGAGAGTGTGAATTTTTCTATTGATTTTTCTGTTTCAAGTGTTGAATTATGTGTTGAGAAGGTTGAACAGTGTAAATCTTTTATATATCTTGTGGTAGTTAAAGCATTTTATCATAGCAGATCCTTTGTTCTCTAAACTTTGAATATGCTTCCTTCTTTTCTCCCAATTTGTACTTTAATAATTGCTAAAAATTCCTCTTTGATACTTTTTTATCCACTTTTTCTTCTTCCATAATATTTTTTCCTCTTTCTAACTTTCTCTTTTTATCTTCAACACTTCAAACTTTTTTTTCTTTGGAAGAGGGGGTAGAGGGGATAAATGGGAGTCCAGCCTCAATGATAGAGTGAGGACAAATGGATATGGTAGTGCAACAAAAACAAATGTCATAAATTGTGGAGTAAAGACAAATATAACAAGTCCAAATAGAACACGTAACCCTAATATAGTGAGGCCAAACATAGATAGAAAAGTGGGGACAAATGCAACAAGTCTAAACAAATCTAGTGCTTCAAAATTTATTTTCCTTCGAGAAGGGGATGACAAAGATGTGGAAAATGAACAGAGTGAGTTTGACTTCCAATATGTAGTGTTAGATGAATACAATGGTTGTAAGTTTAAATTAAAACAGATTTTAGATGTTGACCAAAAGGAAGACATAAAAACAACTTTTGCTTATAGTAGTGAGTTTGAATTAATGGTGGTTGTCAATAGATAAACTTAAAGATGAAATGTATTATTTGCTACAATGGTGGTTTGAGCATATATATAAAGTTGGAATTAATTTATTGGGACTCTATAATTTATTGATGTTTGTGCCATGGCTTTGGATTTTGTTTAAGCCATGGTTATCATCAACTTTGTTAATAGTTTTAAAATAGCTTCAGATTCTTGTGGTAGTTTATAATCACCTAATAAAAGTTTTATATATTCCACTTGACTTATTGTCATTACCTTTTCATCTTCCAAAGGGAAGGATGGAATAAGGTTGTAAGTCTAAGTTTCACCAATAAAACTTGAGGTGAAAACTCTGGTTTTAATCTGTGACCGGCGCCGACCTACATATATATATACATGTATGTATATATACATATATATATATATACATATATATGTATGTATGTATAGGTAATACACTAATTATAATAGCATATGGACTATCTATTTGGGATTGAATTTGATTTATCCATTCTTGTATATAAGTACGGTCTAAACCCCAATTAATATACCTATTCTTATATTTCAAGTATTTATAATATTAATATAATTTTATGTTATATTATATTAGTAAATTTTTTGTTAAATACAATTTCTCAATATTAACTTTAATAACTATTATTTAGAATATTGTTTAATGAAAGATAGAAAATTTACAAAATTAACTTTTTTAACTATAAATAATTTTGTAACTAGAGCTATTAATTAATTTCTTTTTCTTTAAAAATATATCTTATACTTTATATTTACTTAAATTACTCTTTCATTGCATGTAAGATTAAATTTATCTCTAACAAATATATAAGTATATTATACATATAAGCAAATAGAAGTTTAATATAAATAAGTAAATCTATAAAACTATATAATATGTTAGCTGAATTGATAATTTAACTGAGAAAATTGCAATATAATTTTTAAATTTAATTAATTATGATAAAAATTATAAAAGCCTACTTGAGTTCAATCTACAATATATTTTAAAATACTAAAATTTATAAGAAAATAAATTAAATTCAAAGTTAATATTTATTGATAAATAATTTGTAAAATATATTGCAATCCCCTCCACAGCTTTTTTGGCACTTTTTCTGTCAAATCTAAAGTTTAGATTACACATAATTAATAACAACTTTTATTTGGTGGTATTATCCACAATAAAGAACCCTCTTATATTTTAACCATCTTTCATAACTTTACAATACAATTGAAATAATCTTTTACATCAACACAAATTAAAATATGATTAAAGTATAAAAAAAACAGATCTTTTAATTATTAAGCTTTGAAATACTACTATATTTTAAAATTGAAAGAGTGTATGTTTTCTTTTTATGGAATGATGGGAAAGCTATATTAAACTCTAGTTGCTCCAAATATAGCATTAGTTAGGTGTTATATGTTGACAAGGAAACGTAATTTGAAACATGAAAATTCTGAGATAATATGAAATTGACATGCCCAAAGTAACCTTTATTTTGTTGTGTTCCCTAATAGGGAAGAATTCTTTTCTGTCATATGGAGTCCTTGGACACGGGGTTGAGGGAGGCCATCGCTGCATATGAAGAGGGAGACAAAGAGGGGCCATTCCTCGTTGCCCAACAGGTACCATGGGCAGTTTATGATGCTTGGATGGATGGCTTGGAGTGCCACTGGAGATTGCAATACAAGGAAGGCGATGTGTGGATGCACGGGGATCCTTCCATCGTTCACGAGACCGTCTCGCAATGGTTCAACACTCGCATCATCTCGCAGATTTGCACTCTTCCTGGTGTGGACGAGTGTTTAGACGTGATCACGCCCGCCGGAGCTTCGCGCCTTCCAACAGTGACGGGCGACAAGGAACCGGATCAGTGCTATTTCTCCAACTCGGACATGGCGAGAGCGAGGGCCGTGGTCGAAGTGGCGTACAGGAACGAGACGATCGAGACATTGCGAGAGGTGGTGGAGACGTGGGAGCAGTCTGGTTACAAGTTGGTGATCGGTGTCAAAGTTACGAGCGACTGCCAATTCACGTTTCTCGCCAAGGAGGAAGGCAGCCGTGACATGAGGGAGATCATGTTTGGGCCGGAGTTTTGCAAGGCCAGCGAGGGCTTTGTGATCAAGTTTCCCATGTCTCACTTCACTGGAGATGTCAGGGGTGACTACCATATCGAGTTTGATCTGTTTAAGCTGCAACAGTTTATCATCAAAATGATGGACCAAGAACTATCAGCAAGAATGGCTGGAGCGGTGTAATAGAATTTCTTTGATGCAGTGATACTAGATGAATGAAAGCTATTTTCTTTGCAAGTGACCAACAATCAAACATGAGATGGAAGAGATAAATTATAATGAAGAACTTCCAGAGCACTTTGTGCTCCGAGGAGTTCCATGGAAACAATAATTTACCTTAACTTTAAAGTTCGCCTTTGACACTCGGACGAATTAGTTTGATTGCGTTTCCTCAGTTTTTCTGTAAATCCATGGATGGTGAGCAAACAACTAGAAGCTAGTGAAGAGCAACTACTCACAGAACCGGCGGTTTGGAGGTCCCAATGCAGGCCTGTGAGGTCGGCCTTGGAGGAGGAGAGGCACTGCGAGGCTGGGACGAATGTCGCGCGGGTCTGGGAATCGTGGCTCAGGCCGTGGTGGTGGAGTAACCTTCGGCATACATCCATCGCCGACGATCATCTTCTTGAACGATTCCATATCCGTGATTGGCCTTCGGAACGCATCTACCGAGTTCTCCAGGCACTGGTAGATGTACTCGAAGTCCTTGGGTGTCACGGCTTTGGCAGCATTCCGTGACGGATCATAAAAATCCTCCACCTGAAAAACATAAGCGAACGTCATCAGGAGCATGATCATGTTGCGGAAGGCTAAACTTACGCAAATGCAACCATTGTGAAAGCTTGGCCACTTTGAGATCCACTGTGCATGGTAAGTACTCGCACAGAGTCCTTCCTGCCAGAGTGCCTTGACAGCGGTGATCTACGCATTGGAAAACTGAGTGAACACAAATTAGAACTGAGTCCAACACCTTTACAAAGAAGGTCCTAAAGAGCTCGGAGATTCTGTCCATGTTGCGAGCACCAAAGCCCTGAAAAGCTTTGGCGCGGGCACTTATAAACCCGCTGCAATAGGAAGCATCACGTAGGTCCAGTCCTGCAAAAAGCAAGCCGAGTAATGAGAAAATACTAACGAATCTCATCAAACCAACAATATATGAGAGAAGAGAAAACGAGGACGGAGATCTGTGACGAGGACAAAACCTTGCTAAAGAGCACTCAACAATAATATAAAAGTTAAAGAGTGGCAAAAACCTCCAATAATCATAGACAATGGCGGGAGAACTGGAGGGGAGCATGTCTGCAAAGTACGCATGTCAAAAAGCACTCCAAAACAACTCCTTAGACAACCTGACCTGAAGGTGAAATATGGCCAAAAGTGTGATGACATACGAACTCAAGGTACCAGCGCTAGCATCGTTGATCTCGTGAGATTTAGCCCATTTTTTCAGCTGGAACGGAACATCTCAGAAAACGACTGACATTCAACACTTATGGTACCAGTAGACAGAGTGGGCGAAAGCGCTTGTCGATTGAAGATAGAGCAGCTAGTACCAACGATTTTGATGCACCATCTTTGTTGTCTACAGAGAGATCACACTGTATTCCAGTTTTACGGTCCACGAACTTCACCACAGGAACAGTAGCCTTGTAAATGGGCTGTATTTGATCATACCGTGCTGCCAGCCAACAAGAAAACGAGTAAGAATGAATGAAAGACTTTAATCTTAGCTTTACGCTTACCATGCATTGCTTGCAAACTGGTCGTGACCCTTTTCAGAAAGTAGAGTTTTTCTTCTCGGGAAAGAGGGTTCATACGATTCACGTAAAGCGATAGATCGAGATCGCTGTCACAAGTGAATGTGTTGGTTACATATGATCCAAAAGGAGCAACGACGGACGAGCCTGGGGAGAGAAAAAAGAAAAGAAAAAAGATCATCTTCTAACGAAAAGAGAGAGAAGAGAACAGCTGGAGAGAAAAATCACGCATTTTTATGAGAGACACTCACCAGATAAAGTCTGCTTGACAAAGCTGTCGAACGAGGCGACAATAGCTGCTCGGGCGTCGCGATCTTCTTGGGAGGGCTCCAGGTCGCCAAGAATCTCTTCAATCGCCCGGGAGAAGCGAATTTCCTTCTGCGCTGTCCATGAAAAGCTCGCGTTCACGAGTTCCTCAACATCTTGCGCCTTCTTCCGAATCTCTGGAAAGAGGGAAACATCACAACAAAGAAATCCCGTAAAAGGGCCTAGATTTCGCACCTCCCGACGAGAAGAAGCCATTCCCAGGCCAGTGCCCGCCCGACGAGCCCAGCATTCCCTAAAAGCAAGAATCCGATCAGGCAGCAAGAACGCCCCAGCTTCAGAGCTCCAGCGCCGCGCGTGGGAGATTTCCCCGTCTTGGCGTCAAAGGATCATCGCGCCCTCGCCATCGCGCCCCGATCGATCGATGCGCCTCGCGAGGAAATGTGATGTTCCCGCGAATAAGCGCAATAAACCCCACAGGTCGGAGGTTCAAACCAGACCAATAGCTAGCTGACGTGGAAAGCCACCTGTAACTATTTGCTTGTGGCTGACGTGTCAGTATTATAATCACACATTATTGACTAAGATAGTAGGACTTAGAGCTTAGCTATGGCGGATCTATTGGCGGCCGTGGCGGAGTTTGTGGCTGATCCACCTGCTGCAAATCACTCCAATCCTCCATTTCCACAGGTTTTAGTTCCCGGCAGCGATCATCCCTCGCTGGAAGCCCTGGCAGCGGCGATCCGGAAGAACAAGCCCGGTCTGGAATCCCTTCTCGACAGCAGCGGCGCGATCCTCTTCCGGGGCTTCCCAGTGAAGAATGCCGAGGATTTCGCGACGGTGGTGGAGGCGTTTGGATACAAGAGCATGGGATACGAGGCGGGCGCAGCGGCTAGGACGTATATCGTCGGCCCTGTCTTCACTGCCAATGAGCTGCCGCTGGAAATTCGCATTGGATTCCACAACGAGATGGCCTATGTGAGTTGTATCCCTCCCTCCTCACGGATCTTCGCGATTTCTTCGCGATTTCTCACGATTTCTCTTCACGATGTCCTCCCGATCGCGAAGATTTCCCGCTTCTCTTCATGAATCGCCCACGCAACTCGCGATCTTTGTCTTGTTTCTCTCCACAGCTGCCGGATTATCCCGACGTGGTGATGTTCTTCTGCGAGATCGCTCCACCGGAGGGAGGCGAGACGGGGATCGTACAAGGCCGTACGGTGTACGACGCCATGGCCCGCGAGTACCCCGAGTTCGTACGGAACCTCGAGGAGAAAGGCCTCGTCTACTACAACTTTCTCGCCGAGGACGAGTGGAAGGAGAAGTTTGGCACGGATGATCGATCCCAGGCGGAGCTCAAGTAAGTAGCGATCTCTTTTTTTGCTTCTCTTGCTCTCGATCTTCGAGCACCAAAGTGTCTTATCCGGGACTTCCCTGCAGAGCTTCAAAGTTGTCAAAGAAACTACAATGGTTAGACGACGGACGAGTGAAAGTCTACCACGGACCCCGCCCGGCGATCAAGCAGCTCAAGGAAAACTCAAAGACGTGGTTCAACAACATTGGCTCTTCCGATCCCACCATTCCAAACCTCCGGCATTTGGAATATGGCGATGGAACACCGCTTCCACTAGACGCTCTTAAAGCCTCCCTTGCATTTATGAACGACCACCAAGTACCTCACAAGTGGAAGCCAGGAGATGTCATGGTTGTGAACAATCACGCCGTGCTCCATTCGAGGCATCCATCCAAGCCTCCTCGTCGACTGCTTGTATCCATGCTCAAGACTTCCTAAGCTGCAAAAAGTCCAGATTGTATGAGAATAAAACTCTGGGCGACAAAAAAAAAGCCGACTTTTTATGCCACCACGACGCCACCATTTCCAAGAAGAGGCTCTGTCAAGCCTTCCGACGTGGGCTTATGCGTCGCCTTCTCAGCGTTTTGCTTGCAATCTGCCTCTAGGACAAAACGATTCGGGCTACCCCCGGACACTTGGCTGTTTATGTTGGACTTCGCACCAGTAGGCCCCTGACAAGCGAATGCAAACAAAGTAAAGACAGCCACAAGAAACAGCAGAAGAAGCTTACCAAAACACGATACGACGACCCCACTCGACGGACACTAGTGGCGACTTTCGAGACGGATCCAGCAGCAACACGAATTCTGGCACGAAAAACGAGATTTAAGACATGAGGCCGCAAGAAGATGCTTACCTCCTGTGAACATCTACGTATTCGTCAGTTTCATCGACTATCTCCTCCTGGAAATCAGATACAAGAAATCTGTTAAGGCGAAGGTATTCGCAGCTAGGCTTCTTACCTGGAGCAGCTCTTCAATCACGTCTTCCAAAGTGATAATACCTATAACTTCTCCGTCTTCTAAATCATCTCCGGGATCATCTTCATCACGTGAATCTGGAGGCTTTGGTTGAGTTGCATCTACATCAATCGTCGTTTCATTCTTCTCCAAGGCTGCCTTTCCATTTTCATCGTCATGCTGCTTGGGACCGTCCGACCAGCGTTCCTCGTGGTTCACATTATGTGTGTGATGTGCAGTGTGCCTTGGCTTCCTTTTCATCTTCGCTTTCACCACAGCTGCCATGTGGCTGTTTCCCTTCTGGAACTCGTTCAGGATATCGTACAAAGGCATGTCCGCAGGTACTCTGAGCAGAAACCCCCAATTGTACCTTATACAAAAGTAAAACTAAGTACCTTGGTATCTTTCGTATGGACACAGCACTGACAGGCGTTTCGGCTTCAGGCCGAACTGTCAATAGGCTTTTCACCTAAAAGAAAGCGGAAAAACATCGATGTGATATGAACAAAAATATATCAAGTCGATTACCAGCAACAGTCCGATGATGTTACGAGGGCTTCCAGCAAAAACTGGCACACGACTATGACCCCGAGCAAGTATCCGTCCCATTGCTTCCCTGGAGAGGACAGACATATTATCAGCTTCATGACAAGACAATTGCAATAAAATACCAATCAAGTTTGGAGTTAACTTCAAGAGAGAATGTAGACTCAACAGGTGTCATCGCTTCTTCTGCAGTCTAGACGAAGCCGATCGGCATATTAGCAAGTGTTAACATCGAGAAAAGCTCAAACCTTTTCAGTTAAGTCCAAAGCTCCGCTGATTATAGTCGCTTCATCGTGAGTGAGCTCACCGCCTCTGCCTGCCTAGCTTTTGCATAGAAATGTTAACATCCTGACATCAGTTGCTAAGCCAAGGCAACAAAATCGCGTGAAATGCCTTACATCCATCGCATGAATGGAGACAAGGGCCTTCAATTGTGGGCGACGAAACAAGGAGTCGTGAGGTCCGAGTACAGCATCCAGCAACTGCATGATCAATGTTAACGGATAAGAAAAAGAGCCTCGTCGTGCATACCTTCCCAACGGGATAAGAAATTGGATAACAGACCACCATCAATACTTTGACAAGCCAGACGAGATTCGCACCGATAGCGAGCCCATATCGAGCACAAATGGCTTGAGGAAGAACCTGGAGTTCACACGTTGGGAATCGCAACCAAAGAATACGGTGAAACACAAACCTCTCCAAACGCAAGCACAAATGTAACGGATAATATGACTGCTGTGACAGGATCGAACATCTTGTCCAGGAAAATTGGCAGAGCCTGCAAGAAATTGGCATCGAAATCATTCACCATCAAAGAAAAAAACCATTTTTTCTCACTCACCTCCATGGCAGCTGAATTGCAGAGAAGTAAAGTCACCAGGAGCTGGTGCTGCTTTTGAACCACTGGAAAGATTGCCGCTGGAAAAAGAGATGTTATACGAAGCAAAAGTGGAAGTAAAGTGGAAGTAGGAAACTCACCCGCTTGACGCTTCTCCTTGGGAGTACCACTTCTTTGTAGAACTTCCAGGTCCACCACGCCTAAGCTCATGAGTCCCAGCGTGAGACCAGACATGAGCCCAGCAAACACAACCAGGAAGGTCGAGATCCCGGCATAGATATACCACAATCCCGTCCCAAATGGCACATCCTCGGCACGTAATCTCGTCGATGTAGCCAAAACCATCACGGAAAGAATCCTCATCAGCTTCGTCATCTCAATCGATCGATCCGCGAAACCCTTCTTGCTCGCTCGCAGCGCTACAGCATCAACACGTACCGGCGTGGCGCGCTGCCAGTCCGCCGCATTTGGATGGACGGATCGGCGACGCCCTAGGCGCTTGCATCGCTCGGGGAAATCCAAGCTCCTGGGAAGGCTCTAGCACAAATCTTGCAAGGAGTAATAAAAGCCCTCGTCCACAACAAGGGAGGAGAGAATATGTCCCGGCCGTCGATTCCCGCCACGTTCTCTCCATGTGGCGGAATTTCAACCGTCTCAGCTAAACACGATTAACAACATAATTATCAATAAACAGTATTTTCATTTTCTTTCAAACGTTGTCCGAGGGAGCGATCAACTGTTGACAGACGCGCGTTTGACCATGGACTTGACCCAATCCAACGGCGGAAGAGGTCTCGCCAAGTCCATCCGCGAGAGATGGAAGCTTACCTAGGCTATAGAGCGCCACTGGGACGAGCAGCGCCAATCCCCTGGAATCGCCGTTATGGGCTGCCTCTGGTCGTGCGCCAAGCAAACTAGCGGTAGGGTTGGAAGCTCTCACGAGGTGAATCGACAGCCACTCGCGCCCAATTCCTCTTCAGGCGGGCTCTCAATCGCCATCCCGGAAGACCCTCTCCCCAATTCCCACTCCAAATCCAGCAGCCCCGGCAGTGGCGCCCCCGAATCCCCTCTCCACTCCCCCTTTCGCAGCGACAATCTGGCCAGCCTCAACTGGGCGATAATCTCGCGGAGGAAGAAGGCCAATGCATCGAGCATCACGCGGATCGTGAATAACAGCGATGCGCAGATCAAAATCCACGAGAAGCACCGCGAGGTGTGGGGGCGGCTGCTCTTCTCGATCGATCCGGAGAGCAGCGTGGTCGTCCAGCCGAATATCATGGCCGGGACGTTTGTGTGGATGGAGGTGGTGTGGGGAGACGAGGGATTGCCCGTGATCCCGCCGCTGCGCATCGATTCGGACGAGCTCCCCATGCATCGAGAGTTTGTGATTAGCGGGCATGGAGGCAGTCTCTCCTTGCAGAAATTTCCAGCGCCCAGATGACGTTGACCGAGTAAAACTTCTATGGTTTTACCTTTTACGCACTAAAGAAAAATTTCAATGTATTTATCTTTGGTTGCTTGCATGGTTTTTTATTTCGCTGAGATAAAAAAAAAACACAGTGGAGTTTGCGAAACTCCATGATGGATTCTTTTGGATCCTTGTAAGTTTGTGAATAAATTTTTTAAACCTTCCAGGTTCTAGAACTCCTTGACTGTCAGCCATGGAACCTCCATTCAAGCGTAAATTCAACCATAAGTTCCATAGAACTTTTAAATGGATGATGAGCACTGAAATCTTCACAACTTATTAGAAAGGCTCGCGTTTTTCTCTGTGTTGGCTTATGACATTACGAAAGACTTGACTTTCAAGTCAACACGAAACCTCCCGGATGTTCTTCGCTCCTTCCGGATGTACTTGACTTTTCTTGCTTCTTCATCTCACACTTTGAGAATCTCCAGCGCTGTTCCAGCGCCCTGGACGATGATCTTCTTGTACATCACGAAATCAAAAGGCTCGATCCAGATTGGACGAGTTGTCATAGGCTTGCCGGAGCGATCATCCAGCACCAAGACTTCCACCCGGGTGTAAGTCTCGGCTCCATCGATCAGGCACTCCGGCGAGAGGCGCATGGTCTGGAGAGGATCCAGCCGAAACAAGTTCCTCTTCCAGACCTCCCTGTTCTTCTCGAAGAAGAGAAGCGTCCTGCCGCTTCGATTCTCGACCTCTGCGAGCGTACCTCTCTGGCCACCGCGATCTGCTGCGAAGGAGCTCCAAACCTTTCCTAGCAAACCTCCGACTCCCGCCTTGCTCGACGATGGCGACCGAAGCTCCAAATTCTCTGGATCCGCCAATTCTTTAGAGGAGCTGCAAAGGAACAGGCAGCACATTGTTGTGAGGAGGAGGAGGTCGTAATGAGAAAGAGAGAGCGATTTCTCCCATACCTGGAGTTTTAATGGCAAGATCTCAAAACCCAGAAACCAGAGTCACGCGGCAACGCTGAAAGATACTCCATTATCAAACGGAACATCCCGTGCAACTCTGTCAACTTGCACGTAGGGTCACCACGGACCCACGGCAACATCAATCCATCTTCACACCAACAAAGACTTTCTACCAGCTGCCAACTCAACGCGAACAAAACAACCCAGCAAGAAAAAAAGAAAGAGAGAAGACGCCCTCCCGACGTCCGTCACAAGCGAAGGATGAATCAAGATGGAAGTAGCACTAGCGTTCTTCTGGCTGGTAAGTAGCGTTCTCACAGCAAGTGTCCTGCACCAGCGCTCCGAGAGAAATAGTTTTTCCAGCTTCATCGGTGCCTCCTCAACTCGTCAACTTCGCCAAGCTCCAGGGAGCCTCTTCTTGGTACAAGATCAGTCCAGCCTTGGCGCTCGGTTCTCTGAGAAGCCAATTATGTTCCAGAATTGCCTTCTGGCATTGAGGGAGGAAGATGCCTTTGACACGGTACACTTGATTGTGATGCTCACAGAGTGAATTCCCCGTTGCCATCGCCTGGGAGTTCCACTGCGTTGTAAAACGTCTTGCACTGCTTGCATTCCACGCGGAGTGCTTCCTTCTTGGCTCAAACTTCGGCACAACTTATCTTGGTCCGACTGATTGCTAGATGTGGTTCTCTGTTTCTTCAGCGCGCGTCTGCAAGTTCTCAGCCGCGATTCTCTTCATGGCAATCTCTCGAGGAGCGAGGATCTCTGCCACCATCGTTTTCGGCTGTGGTGCTCCAATTATCCTTAGAACTGGAGCCCCGAACGCCACGCTCTTGGTCTTCAAAAGCTCGTCACGCTTCCTCTTTGTCATCGCCACGGCAAGAGCTTACTTCTCCTGGGGCATCCCGCTCCGCCACAAGAATTTCCTCCCATCGCCCCTCCTTCACCTCCCAATCTCACCTCATGCCGCTGGATCATCGACTGCTGCCAAGCCGGGTAGAGATTCTGACCTCTATGTGCTCCTTCGTCTGGCAGATCGAGGCCAGAAACAAGGTTGCTCCAGGCGCCAGAGCAATCCGCCATAGCCCAGGGCGTGGCAATTTTGACAGAAAAAAAACTCACACTTTACACTATCCAATGGAAAAAGAGTATTTCAACTTAAGTAATTCTACTTGACTTTCATGTTTGTCTCCCTGATTTAAATACTTGACTTTTCATATATTTGACCTTAACGTGTCCGGACAATTATCTTCAGATTGGACGAATTGTCACGGAGCGGTCTAGAGAGGATCCACTAGGTATGAAAGATTTCAGACCTGTTCTTAGAAGCAGCCGCTTCGATTCTCTCTGTCCATTGCGATCTGAACCTCACTCCCGCCTTGCTGTCGAAGCTTCAAATTTTCTGGATGGCTGCGAAGAACTTGTAATGAAAAGAGTTAAAAGTAAGATCTCAGAAGAGAAAATTTTCGTAGTAACTTCTCCAGCTTATTTACCTTGGGGCTTAATCCACGCCGCTCTCAAAGCGAACGGCCGCTCCCGCTTGCGATTTGCTTTTATGTTGACGTGTTTTTGGACCTGGGCCTGTGACAAGCGTACACTCAGAGAAAACTCCAACCGAGGCCCCACGGCAACATTACCACCAACAAAGACTTCCTACCAAGCCAACGCAAAACAACCAAGCAAAACAAAAGACGACGTCCTCCTTCGTGAAGGATGAATCAAGATGGAGCTGGCCGTGGCGTTCTTCTGGCTGGTAAGTAGTCTCCACTGCTCAATCATCTCAGCACAGCCTCACCTGGCCCTCCTAAACGACGCCACAATCGCACAATCCGGGGATCTCTGGCTCACCTCGGACCAATCTCCCAGAAGCACGGGCCGAGCAATGCATAATCGAGCAATTCAGATCTGCAACACCACCGCCGGCTTCTCGACAAGCTTCGTCTTCTCCATTCAAAACTCCACCGCCACTCGCGGCGATGGTCTCGCCTTTATCATCTCCGGGAATCTCTCGCCTGCGCCACCCGGCAGCTCGGGTTCCTGGCTCGGCCTCTTCGATCCCGCCATGGACAGGGAGCGGAGCAACAAATTGGTAGCGGTGGAATTCGATTCGGTCCATAATCCCGAGCTCCAGGACATAAATGACGATCACGTCGGCGTGGATATCAACCAGATCCGGTCCCAGGTGAGCCCGACTTTCGAATCGGACGCTGGGAACAGGGTGGATTTGCACGATTCGTCCGCCAACGTGAGCGCGTGGATCGAGTATGACGCGGTCAAACACTCGCTGGTCGTGTTCGTCGCCAGGAACTCGCGGCGGCGACCGGCGGCGCCGCTGGTGCCGCCACAGCCCGTGAACCTGTGCGAGGAGGCGGCGGTCGAAGGGGCGGTGTTCGTGGGCTTCTCTGCCGCCACTGGGGATCTCAGCCGGGACGTGCACATCGTCCACGCCTGGAATTTCTCCGCCCCGGATCTACGTTTTAGTAGAGAGAACTTCACGGGCTTAAGTGGCTCATCGTCGCCACCACCTAGAGGAGGAGGAGGAGAAAGCGGAGGAGATCATGATCAAGAGAAGAATGGATCCAGAACAAGGGTCGTGGTGATCGTCAGCGTGGTTTTCTCGCTCTTGCTGCTGCTGGTGCTCGGCGGGATCTTTCTTATCTGCAAGAGAATGCGTTTGTTCTCGGCTGGCGGTGATGGATCATCGGACGATGTGATCTTGAGAGGGCGGAACCTGGAGCAAAACATCGGGATGCCATCCGAACTCTCGTACCGCGACCTCAAGTCCGCCACCGCCAACTTCGATCCCAAGAATCTCCTTGGCAGCGGCGGCTTTGGCAACGTCTATGCGGGGCTCCTCCCCGGCGATGGATCTCCAGTGGCAGTGAAGAGAATCGGCGAGAACTCCCGGCAGGGCGAGCGCGAGTTCCTGGCCGAGGTGGAGATCATCACCAAGCTCTCGCACCGCAACCTCGTCCACCTCCGCGGCTGGTGCTGCCGATCCAGAGAGCTCCTCCTCGTCTACGAGTTCATGCCAAACGGCAGCCTCGACAAGGCCATCGCCACGAACTCGTCCCTCGAGTGGAGCAAGCGCTACGAGATCATCTGCGGCCTCGCGGCGGCGCTGCTCTACCTCCACGAGGAATGCGAGGAGAGGATCGTCCACCGCGACATCAAGCCCAGCAACGTGATGCTCGACGCGGGATTCAACGCGCGACTGGGCGATTTCGGCCTCGCCAGGCTCATCGATCGCAGGCGCGAGGCGAGGACGACCGCCATCGCGGGGACCTTCGGCTACCTCGCACCGGAGCTTAACATAACCGGGCAGTGCACCACCGCCTCGGACGTCTATAGCTTTGGGATCGTGCTGCTCGAGGTGGCCAGCGGAAAAAAGCCATTCTTTGACGATTACACCGTCTTGGGCGAGTGGATCTGGGAGCTGTATCGAAAGAGGAGCCTGGTTGAGGCCGCGGATCCAGCGCTGGGAGGGGTTTTCGATGGTGGGGAGATGGAATCGGTGCTCACAATCGGGCTGGCGTGCTCGGATCCAAGCCCCAGGAACCGGCCCACGATGCGCCAGGTGGTGAATTCGCTCAAGGGCAATGCGCCAGCGCTGCCGGAGCTGCGGCGATCGCGCGAGGTTTTGGAGTTTGATCGTAGCGTTTCAATGAGCGCTAGCTCCGGGAGTTTCCCTTTCCCGACGTTCACGAGCTCGTCCAATCAACCCTAAACAGACTATTTCTATGGAGTTTAGAAGCTCAGTTTTTTTTTCTCATCAAATTTTTGTATGGTTTCACAAAATGGAAAAGATGGTTTAATGATGCATAAAATTTCAAGGTAGTAAAGTAGCCTTTTCAAACTCATTTTCCACAGTACAAAGAAATTAAGAATTGCCCTGCTGCAAAAGGAATTTCAGTCTATTAATCAAAAGGATGTTTTTGAAGAATCAGATCTTGCATAGTTTACTGGTTCACATTGGGTATATAAAATTAAGTTTAATGCTTGTAGCATATTTAATTGTTAGAAAGCTCACTTAGTAGCACAAAATTCTTCCCAAAAGTATTTGACACATATTTCTAGTAGTTAAGATGACAAGCCTTTATATTTTGCTAGCATTTCCTCACTTTGTATCACAAATATCAAAATAACATTTCTTAATGTTAGTTTGGAAGGTATGGAAATTAAAGAAAGTATTTTATGGCCTTAAACAAGCCTCTAGAGTTTAGTTTCATCATAATGTCCTTCTCAAGTCTCATAACTCTTATATGCTCATTGTAGTATTATATGCTGAGTGATTAGCAACTTATTAGTTTATTTACTGTTTTAAGCTATTTTGAGTGGAGGATTTAGGTATTGCTTTAGCTTGGAAATTTGTCATGATAAGACTTCAGATTTTTTGAAAAAAATATTTTCATGACATTCTAGAGTAATTTAACATGGTTAATTGCTGTGTTTATGCAACTAAACACTATTCTCTCTAAGAAGTTAAGCTTTAATAGCTTCCATGTCATTTAGAAGCCTTATTGCAATCTTATGTATGATATGGTATGATATGGTGCTCACAACTTGGGCTTTCTCTACTATTCCTCTAAACCAGTTTTTAGCAAATCCAAGCAAACTACATTGGTAATTAGCCAAATTTATCCTATAGGACAAAAGATTTCACTTAACTCATGGAGGAGTTGCAACATATAGCATCTCATTTGTCACCATTCTATAATATTAGCCTCATAATGATTATAATACATGCTATTTCTAACCTGAAAGGAGATTCTTTAGCTTCATGATTTCCTCCTTAATCTTGGGTAACCTTTCTTGCCTCTCTACATGGAAAACAAAGATGGAATCATGGTGCACAAATGGAGTGCATTACCATTATGCATGTGAATTAGTCCAAGAATAAATTCTTAAGCTTTACTACTGATCAACAAAGTAACTTCTTCACAAAGCCTTTTACCAAATAAACTTTCAAGGGAATGGTGGTTGATTGAGTTTTGCATCATTCAAGAGTGTGTATTATTAAACTCAACACACATAGTATATTTAGCTATAAAAGTAATGACTTATATTCACAATAGTGTGCACAAAGTAAAATTCTTTGTGTTCGTGTCAAGCTTTCTTCTTGGACTTTGACAGAGCATCACTATGGAAAAAGAAAGCTCCATAAAATTATCAATGTGGTCAATGAGTCTTGAACCCATGACTATAATATTACCAGCTTAGTTTTTAATTAGAAGAATAAATAAATATTAGAGTAAATATTGAGAATATTGTCACATATTACTTATGGGATTTGAATTCAAAACATATTATATGTATATAGATAAGCATTTAATACAAAGATTATGTTTCTAAGTTAACTAGGAGGGGAGTCTTTTATTATTTTATTATTTTATTAATAATTTTATTGTTTTTCCATCTCTTGGCAACAAACTCCTTATAGTTTAATCTCTAAAAATTATATGGATTGAGTATGATCTCTAAAGATTATATGGATTGCGTAAGTCATTTATGACTTGTAAAAATGTGTTAAAACAACTCACCACATTCGAGTATTAAGGTGAATCTATAAGAATGTAAGCTCTTAAATTTAAACTTCTTGGGAGGTCATCCATCCTAGTATTATTCAAACCGAAAAACATTTAACTCAAAATATCCCAAGACCCTTA